GGTGATGGGCTGGCCGTTACCACTCTCTGCAGGGAGATGATCGGAAAGTAAGCAAGCGACTGTGTTCACTCACTTCCCGATCAATAGAGCCGACGTGTGACCGCTACTTTGACACAAGTCGGCTTTAACTATGAGGATGAGTGGAAATCACTTGCCTCATAGTTCTCCTTTAAGTCCTGGTACAGATATAGCAAATATAAAAACACACATAGTTTACTTATAAATATTTGTATTGATTTGGAAAATACTAAAAGTATGTTAAAAGTAATTTTACCACGTCCCTCTGGTTCTAACTTAAGGTGGTCATACATTGTTAGATCTTCCCTCGGAAATCGTGCACGAAGGGTCTTTCATACGAAAATCGAACAGTTTTTGCTAATGTGAACGAAATTTATGGTACCGGTCAGGTTGGAAACCTTTTTTTTCTGACCGAATGAAATTCGATGAATGAATGGGGTTTTTATTTGTCCAAAATCTCCCCATGAACACAGGACATGCGCAAAAGAAAAGCTGCCTTGGTCAAACAAATACTTTCTCTGCATAGGTCAAACAAACATTTCTGTCCGTCCAAAAACAGTTTGTTTAGTATGGCTAACGAACGATTCCCGAAATTGACATTTGATTATGCTTGATGGGGAAGGTATAAGCGAACGAGGGCTCGTGGCCAAAACGAATCCTTTTAAATGAAAATCTACTAGTGTATGACCACCTTTAGGGCCTATTGAAATGATTGGCAATGTATCACACCTAGCACAAGGTACTGCATGCTAGGTGCGCTGTGCGTGTGAATGAGCCCTAATTTTTTTATGTTTTAACATGACAGTGTCTTTCCCTTGATGTTTGTTTTATTTTTACTCCAGTTTATTGAAGGCTCTTTTGATGAACATTTGAAACGTCTAGAAAATCCACAGGTAATATGAAGGATATTGCAAAACTCTGCAGTTCTGCCTTTATTTCTTTATAACATGACCTTTTTATAGGATGCAGTGCTTGGCATAAGTATTCACTCTTCTTAGATTCTGCTATATTTTTACAGAATGGATTTCAATGGATTTAACCTGTATGTTTTTTTGTTTTGCTTGTTACCATTTTGGGATTTGACTTATACAATTTTCCTAAAGTGGTCCTAAAGCTCTGTCACTCTTCAGGAAAACTTTTCAAGTGAAGTCACGGTTTGTCTTTTTTTTTTCTTTCCTTTTTTTCCTTTCTTCCTACCCAGCCAATCAAAGGCTTTGCCATAAAAGGCTTCCTGATTGGTTGAAGCACTCATGTGAGTCTTCAGCTGTAGCTAAAGGTCAGACCCGTGACCCTCAGAGTAGGTGTTTATAAGAAATATCTGAAGGCTGCTTGCTTCAGAGCCTATTAAGGATTTTGTATATTAGCAATCAAGGCTTTTTGCTATATCAGGTGGGGGTGTGGGTTAGGGGATGGTACACATGCGAGAGCTGATTGGATTAAACATAACTTCAAATCCAACTCCCCTAACCTAACTGATCCCACCCTCACTCTCCACAAATCTATACTTACTGAGATCTGAGGACCACTAATCCGTTGTATGTTTGCATCCAGCACTGCAAGTCTCCCTCTTCTGACCGCGTTCACCTTCTGGCTGGGAGAGAGTTACAAAGAAGTCTATGGGACTGTAATGTGCAGAATTGTACCTGGCGGATTTTGGTAAATCTGCGGAGGGGGAAGGTGGGATAGTTTCAGTTAGGGGTGGGGGGCAAAAAGGATAAGTGCACTGATCATTCAAATCTTAGAAGTTTGAATTATTTTAAGTTTTAGGATGAATTTGATATTAACTTATTAACTCAACTCTATTTAATATTTTTAGGAATTGTGGAGATTATGTTGTGCATGTGTGGCCTAGTATTTTCTACCGAATATATTATTTTGATAAAGATGTGTACAAGTATCATGGGACAAATAAAATCTAGATTACCTTCTTTTATATCTTCCTTTGCTTTTAGTAAAGATTGTTTGGGGGAAGTCTTTAGTGAACCTTCCAGTCTTTTAATATGTGTGTGTTGCAAAAATGTCTTGCTTAACTTAAATGCAAAATGACAGCATGCTCAGAGAGTTTTATAGTGAGCTCTTTTTCTTTATCCTCATTCAGGAATGGGTTGGCCAAGTGGAGATAAGTGCCCTTTCTTTAATGTTCAAGTAAGTGGTTCTTCTGAAGTAAACAACACTTCTGTACGAGTCTAGTTGGTTAACACATGTGCTAGAATATTTTATTGTAGCTCCAACAGTTTTTTACTCTTCCGATATTACATTTGCTCTTGCGTGTTAGAGACGCAAATCTCCACTTGGAGCTAGGCCAGGATGTCTGGCAATTCTGGCACTTTACCAGAAGTACAGATATGTGATGTATGCACATTATTCTTCTCATGTTTAATCATACAGTGAAAGACCAGTGATCTTTTAACACTAGGTAAAGATATGGTTAAAATATCTACAAACCCTTTTACATGTAGCTATTGTGAGGAAACAAAGCGGGAACGAACGAAGAGGAAGTGCCCCATGTTTTCGGGCAAATCACGCAAAGTTTGCAAATATAGGTTTTACATGTTTCCTTGCTTCTGCTATCCCCAAGAATTGTACTGGAATTTTCAACACTTTCCTTCATTTAGATTTCCTGGTCACTTCCTGACAAAGCCATCTCCAAACTTCTTACATTTGCATGTTTCTAGTTTTTTAAATTAGTTGTTTATTGTTATACAGGATTTATATAGCACCAACAGTTTGCTCAGCGCTTTACAATATAGGGAAGACATAATTACAATACAATTCAAGACACGAGGGTAATGAGGGCCCTGCCCGCGAGGGCTTACAATCTAAGAGGGAACTAGTTCTAAAGTTTTTATTTATTTAAGATTAATTTAATCCAAAAATTAAAAAGGCATACAAGCTTTTTCCTAAGTTTATAAAGTGTCCAAAAGTTTAAAAAGTGTGACTATTTTATTTGTGTCTTGTCAGCTTTTTCTGTAGTAATTGTAAACTGCTGCCATTCAGTAATGTGGATGAGTCCAGGTCTGAACGAAGCCAAGTCTCAGGCTTTAGTTTTTGTTGGCCGGGGTTTATGTCCAGGTGGATATATGGGTTGGGAAAATCATTGGTGGTTCTGCCATCTTTGAACTCCTTACATATGACTATGCTGGGATTTACCATACCATAGGTCACCTCAGGTGGGAGAGGAGGACTGCTGAGAGTGCTTATCATATCTAAGTTAAATGACAGTAGATGATTCTTGCTCCACCCGCTTTGTGTCTCATCCCTTGTTTTAGGGTATTGATATTGGTGTTTGTAAATCCAATGGGGCCATATTTGTTTTCAAAAAGTGTTTCATTTGGATGTTAGAATATAGGCTGCATCAAGGTTGTCCTTTTCATTCTGTATTCTTTTTGTAAACATAACATTTTGAATGTGTTTTTTGTTGTTGTTTTTTTAATAGGCGTAGTAGGATAAATAAAAACTATAAGTAACATTTTTAACTCCTTTTTTTTTTTTTTTTTTACTTAAAGAAAAGAATTTGTAATTTATCAAGAGCCAGATGTTGCTCCTGCTCGTGTTACCGATAACGGCTTCAGTGGCGAGGTCAGTTGAGTTTTCTCTTTACGTTTTAGAGTTAATTGATGGAAATTTTCATGCTGAACTATACATAATACAATTGAGATTGGGAGTGCCCCAACAAAGTTCAGATTAGGAACATACAAATGTGCATTTAGTAGCTGCAAATTGTGCTGTGGTTTTATTGATATTTTATCTGTTCTTTTTTTTGTTTTAATGTAAAAAGCCTGTTAAAGCAGAACTAAAAACTGCAAATACTCTACTCCGCTCCAGCAATGTGATGTCCATTAGCTCCCTCGCCAGCGGCAAAAACCTCTCACAGGCTTCTCCTGGGTGTGGGGTCTTTGGTGGTTTTGTTTGGCTGTCAAGGGATGATGTAACTCCCATGCATCTCAGTGCACATTCTAAAGAAGACTGCAAACAGGCAGGTAAGTTTGTTTTATTATAGAAGGGACATAGCATGTCTCTTCTGCAAAAAGGAGCCTGCCTGCTTGCAGTTTTTTAGATGTACTTTTAGGGCCTGTTCACATGATTTTCAGGTGCGGATCTGCAGACGCGGTGCTACTCATGCAGTGCGTTTTTGATGCGTTTTCGGTCCGGATGCTGACATATTTTTTTTTGCCCCCCAAGCCGTGGGGCTGTCATTATGCACATTCTTCCTCTGAGGTCACTTCCGCCCTCTCGTAACATCTACTTCCCTTTGTGTATGTAAAGCTGGTGATCAGACATGTATCACATGTTTGCAGGCATGTTGATGGTGCTGGCTACAGCAATCTGCAGAGATCCGTTCCATTTTTCGTTGCGTTTTTGCAGCGTTCGTGCGCTTCCTGATCATTCTGGACCGGACAAAATGTGACATGCGGTATTTTTTCTGGCGTAACCTGAACGGACTGCGCACGTGAGAACTGTAGCCCATAAAACACATAGGGATAGATTGGGATGCATTTTTAGTGCAGGAGCACCATAAGCGGATGTCGTGTGAACAGGCCCTTAGTTCTACTTACTTTATATTGATGTTGATGAAATGTATAAAAAAACGTTATGAACTATCCAGAAATGACTCTAAATGCTATTTATTTTTGTTTTTTAAGATAATGTTATGCTTCTCTAATGGAAATCATTATGACATCATTTACCCTTCTGGATTTGCTGAAAAAGCTGCATTGTGCCAATGTAAGTAAACCACTTCATAAAGACAATAAATGTTTGACACTTTGTCACTGCAAGCAGCATCTATCTAACAAGCAGAGGCGGCTGTGCACTTTGCTGGTTCTGTACACCAGCTAGTCATAAAGCAATATGGTGATTTGGGTTTTCTCTTGCCCAGGCTGTATATCTGATTCTGGACAGGAGTGACTGATGTTTGGGCATGAACATGGTTTACTTAATAGTTTGTGAGCCTATCCTCCTGAGCTCTGCTTTTGGGCTTGCAGTTTGTTGCATATGGCAGGATGTTCCATATGCATAGATATCTATTAAACTTAAGAGCTAGGAAATTATTCTGCTAGAAGTGAATCCAGGTGAGAAGTTGCAGCATTGATTTCTAGTGTATAACTGCTATAATGAAATTCCAGCATTAGTGAGCTTTTCTTTAGCTTTATAGTTTGTTTATTGTACATAAGAAGTTTACTTTAAAGTGTATCTTCATTTTTATAGTCAAATTTAGAAAATCCCTCCCTATATTTTTATTTATTCCTATTTATACCGTATACCTAAAAGGAATTTTGTAACAAAAAAAGTTTTTTCTTAGCGGTTTCTTTGGAGAAGGCCTTTGTGCAGATTTCAGTCTACTCTGATCAATTTGAAAGTAGACAGTAAAACTGAGGGTGCAGATTGAGCTTCTTCTCTTTGACTTACAAAGTCTAATTCTTTAACCCTTTGTTAGGGCAGACGGGGTTTTATAAAGATTTGCACTAATATCATGCAATGTCAAAATGTGCAACTGCCACCATTTTATTCTTTACTTTCAATATATATATAATGTTGTGGGGGGTTTAAGTCATGTTCAGACCCTAAAATGTGGATGATAACATGTGGGAAAAAACACCTTTGCAGCTTTTTTACAACTTTCATTACATACTGGCAAGCACAATTCTCTAATATCTATTGTTTGATATTTAAACCACAGGATGTCTGTGTTTTTTTTTTTTTTCAGAATTCTGCAGCTGCCAAGTTACTTTTACTCTTAAAATTTTTACATACTCCACCAGTGTATTTATATTTTATGTTGACTTTCTTGTCAACAGAAGATTGCATACACTGAGGCCCTGTTCACACCGAAAGCGTGTGCGTTAGAGCGGTAGCTGCTGGAACGCACCGCGATCGCTGAGGAACTTCCCATTGCGTTTTGCGGCGGGAGGGGGCGTGGCGGTGCATTGTATTCAATGGCACCGCTAACACCCCCCACCCCACCCGCAGTGCAAAAACATTGCCAGCGTTCCGTTCCACTGCAAACGCAAAAAATAGGGCTCTTTTTATATAGAAAGTAGGAAAATATCATGATCAGGTTTTACAAAGACACGTTTAACTATGAGAATGGCTATTATGACTTTCTTTTATTCTTTTTGCAGCTATAATTTATGAGTTGCTTTATGAAAAAGTGTTTGGGGTCAACGTGACAAAACACATGTTTAAAACAGAAGCATTGGACTGGAAAGGTGAAGAAGAGGTCCACGACAGTGATGCTTCAGGATCTGATGGAGACGATGATGCAGCTGGGTATGGACAACTGTAAAGGGAATGCATAGTTTTATACATACTCCCTTTTTGTATTCCGTTACAAAAAGGAAATTAATTAGAATCTCAGATATCGAAATTTTAAATACCTGTATCGTTTTGAGGCTTGTGATATAAAGACACTTTCCACAGTGCCCAGAATGGAATCAAAAATCTGTTGTGACTCTGTGTACGACTGTTACTCTATATCATTACAAAATACTTTGCTTTTTTTGTTCTTTTTTAGATAGAAAGGGGGAAGTATAGAATGACTGTCTGGTTTCTGGGGCTTTATTAGAAAGATTTCTCCTCCCTTTCTGTGTTAAAGGTATCTCTCCAATGGAGGCTTTGACTGCAATAAAACCGGACCGAAGTTGTATTCCTTCCCCAAACCAACAAGAACGAGAAGTTTTAGTTACACATACACTTTAAGGGGAAGCCAGTCCCATTTGGACTTATAATAAACTTTTGAATTCTAATTCTTACATTATTATAGTTGTGCAGGCTTACCAATGTAAGACACTTTTTGTACCCCTAAGTAATATTATATTGACAGTATTAAGCGCAAAGCCATAGTTGTTTCCAATGGTTAACCACAGGATTCCGTTATGTGATACTTTTATTCTCAATTGGGAGACTTGTGTTATCAGGTCATCATTAGCTTGGTTCATGCAGCACTTGTTCAAAATGACTTTCTGCTGCCACCTTTTTACTTGAATGGGGCGCCTCTAAGCAAGCCTAGACCAGGAGATTTTAAAAGGATTTCCCCTTCTAATATATTTTTGGGCTATAACCCTCCTCCAGTTTTTCCATTTATTTATATGGAGACTACTTTAAATTTGCCTCTTTATTTTTTTATCAATATGGTTGACGTAAGCAGTCACTTTTGTGTCTCCTAAGGACATTGCCATGCCATAGCTCATGTGTTCTCAATGTATTCCTCTGTGTTCATTGTCTGCACTTGTGTATACAGCACACTGGATGGGCATCTAGTGTTGCCCCTTTCTTTTCTAGTCTTAGTGATTCTGTGCAGGGAAAAACAAGAATACCAAGGCAAATTTAGGTAGTTATACTATCTGCATTTAAAAATAAATTTCACTATACTTTCATGAATTGTTTGATATTTGAACCACAGTATGTCTGATTTTTTTTTTCCCCCCAGAATTCTGCAGCTGCCAAGTTACTTTTTTTGTTTGTTGTTTTTTTTAAATATCTGCATGGTGTTCAGAGTTGGCAAGAATCCCATCATTTAGCCAACTCCAGCCATTTTATTTTTCTTTATTTTTGATTAAGAGGATTTTTTTTCTTTTTTTTTCTGTATGTAAACCCCACAAGAAAGAGGGGGTTTGGTTGTCGCATGTCACTCGTATATTTGGGGTTTTTTTTGCTTAAATTTAAGCATATAATGTCTTTCTCAAATTACGTTCGCTATAAAAGGATAGATTTAGTATACATTTTCTCAATTTTTTGTAATTACATTTAATATTTTTAATTTTTTTTATCACGAGTTATTACCATATATTATATATTTTTCATTTTTCTACAGCTGCAGAGATAATGTGAATTTTGCTGGTATGAATGGATTTAAATCGCACAAGGATGGGAAGGTATGTCTCAAATATGTTACTGTAAAGTATATTGCAATGCTACTGGTTACCCTTTTTATATCATTTTTGTTACTTTGTAGCCACCACAGATAAAGGAAGGTCATTCAGTGGTGCCAGCAGCTGCCCTTCGATCTCTTAATCCAACAGTTTTTAGAAATGTTGAGTATGAAGTCTGGATGAAGGCACAAAGGGGTAAGCAATGAATGCTTAAATTACATCTTTGCAGTTTTCCATAACAAGGAAATTAAATGATCTGGATATCAATGCGGATTCTTTTGATATCATCTTAGAGGGTGCTCAGCCATGTAGTCATGATCCCTTTGTTCCCAGACTGTTTGGAGAGAGAGTATAGCAGAACTGCTGACAGGGTTGGGGATAATTAAAGCTTATTGTGTTGGGGTGCTTGGGGGGAGGAAGGAAAAGCTGGTGCAGAGTTGGGGGTTCTTGGAAGTGCGTGTTTGTGTTGGGGAGGGTGAGTGTGCAGCAGACTGGAGTTCAGGTTTAACAAATTGCTTTTTTTGTGAGTGTTTCCAATGAACAGTATTTACATAGCACTTACATTATTTAATTGTGTTACAGATCAGCAACGGCTGGATTTCTCCATTGCTGCTGGCCTGCAGTATTCTGTGGGAGACAAATGCAAAGTGAGTTTTTTTTTTTTTAGTTGCATATCATTTTCTCACATGTGTCTTTGCACCTTTTGGCATCTCCTGGCTGTGGGATTGGATTGCAGCTTCCTGAGCTGATCATAGGCCACTGGATTTGATCCACGAGCAAATGAGATAGAAGCAGAATGGCAGCTGAACGTGGACTTGGAGGGTGGAAGCAGATAGAAGAGGCAGAATTGGTTATGGACTAATGGAGTATAGAGGAGGCAGAGTTGAAGCTGATCTTAGCAGAGGATGGTGAAAATAGAGTTGTGACTACTGAACGGAGGAAAGGCAGAGAGGGCAAAGTAGGAACTAACCAGGGAGGAAAGAATGGAGGGAATGATGAGAGCTCATCAAGGATAGAAGTGAAATGAAAAGTAACAGAGAATAAATGTTTGACAAGAGGAGGGCCCCTGCAAATTGTATTCTGCTGGCATATAATGCAGAGTGAGTAGGACGGGAGGGTGAAGAGGCAGAGAAGGAGCTGACTGTCAAATGTGGGGAGGAAGGGTAACATATTTCTCATGTAATATATCAGGAATGGCAGGTCATACCCTTTCTACTTGGACATTTACAAAATATAATGTGGCATGTAATATCTACTTGGCAGTTTTGTCTGCAGTATGACAGCCAAGGAAAACTGGAAACACAAAACATTCTACAGAAATAGCTTTGTGCAGAATGGGCATTTCAGAATGCCTAAGACATTGGAGGAATGTAGTATGGACAGTGATGGGAAAGCTGTCAAAAAACATAGTACTTGGGGAAGGGGGTGAGGTAGCTGTTAAAGAAGCCACTGCTAGGTAGATGCTGGGTAAAAGGAACGTTAGGCTCCTTTTTACAGGAGGAAGAATTTATGTAGAAAACAGCAAGTTTAAATCTCTAAAGTCAAATAGAATAGATAATTAGAATTAAATGGAATAGAAAAGGAGCCCACCGACCTTAATATTGTTTTGTCTCAGTAGTTGGGTGATACTTGAACATCAAATTACTGGGAAAAGAATTATAGCACTAGGTGCCCTTATGCATTTACATCTTTCTGGATGAATACCAAAAGCTGTACACTGTTTCATATTGTGATGTTGGGAGTTTATGGAGTGCATAGTGTGGCGTGCTTTTATATGTCACAGCGGAGCATTGTTTACTTTACTGACATAAGTGTAAAAGGAATTGAAATTTCCTGCCCTAGTCAGTCATTTCGAACTTGTGATACCTACCTGTGTACTCATCCCTTCTACTGTTGGAGTTGGGGCAGATGGCTCTAGGCTTCCACAACAGTGGTGGTGGCCCAAAATGTCTTTGGGACCATAAATGTCAAAATTGTATGCCGCTGTAACTGATCCCAATGCAAGCTGACCGGCAAATACCTCCAAAATGGCATGCATTCCACACATGCATGGTAGGCAGTTATAGCCTGGGTTCCACGCAGTACAATTTACTACTGTATTGCAAATCCCCTCTTGTGCCTACAGTAACAGTGGTGGCCACCATAGTTCACTGTGTAGCTTCGGCAGTGTTAGAAAAGCTTTTGGCGGATGGTGTGAGGCACCGCTAGCCCAGAACAGGCAGGAAGTAGAGCACAACATGTGGACCAGGCAGGACACCTCAAAAGAGGCCAGCTGTCTTGGAGTACCCCTCCTCCAGGTCCCTCTTTCCCCTTTGCACCTTCAGACCTCCCCTCGTGCTCTCAGCACCAAACCTGCACCCAGAACCACACTTGCTATAGCGCTTGACCCCCCCATCCCCCCTCCTTCCAAGGTCTGGCGACCACGCTTGCATCCTCAACAAGCACACCACCATGACACCCCTTCGCACACCAGCACAAATACCCTCCCGTTATGACCACAGCAACTTTATTTCCTCTTGCACACCTGCATGGTTGCATTTCTCAGCACTGCACTGGCACGCCCCCTTCTCTTACATTCTCAACACTAACCCTACACCTTGACCAGTGCTTGCGCGCCCCCCCCCCCAAATTGACGACTGTGGCAAATAAACTTAACTGATTTTAAATTTCACTTCTGCAAAAGAAAAGGTTTTCTTAACATTCTAAGTAATAACACTTGGTTTCCCTTTTTGTAGGTTCGATTAGAGCATGGAGGAGCTTTATATAATGCTCACATCCAAGACGTTGCTGAGAGTGGACCAGCTGTGGTGTTTGTGGAAGAGCTGGGTGAAAAGTATGTTAAACAAGCAATTACTGACACACTAACACTAAAATTGTATGACTGACTTTAATAATGATGTACACAGCAGGTATGCGCTTTCTAAGGGTCCATGCCTATAAGTACCCATCTTTGCATTTAATGGTACAGTATTACATTGAGACTCTTTGGGAAGGTTCGCTTCACATCGCCAGGAATTGCTCTGATTTGTTCACAATCAGTGGGAACGTAAGCTGTCATTGAGATCTTAGGTTTGAAAGTTGGCAGCAGTGCAAAGTTTTTGTTACTAAATCTGAAATGGAGGATATTTATTAACCTATCTACAGCATGGGGTATTGTGCTTGGAAAGTTAATTTAAGGTGTTAACCTTACTAGATATTGCCAGGTATCCTCAAACTTTCTAAACAAGGGACCTGTTTACTGTCCTTCAGACCTTAGGAGGGTCAGACTTGTCAATGGCCCTTAAACAATACTTCACACTTTGTAATCAGTGGGAGTAAAAAATTTCCCAGGGTTGGTGGCAGTGGATTAAAAAAAAAAATGGCCTACCACCTGTGGTTAGTTGGTGGAGGATTAGTGCCCCATCATTGGTGTCATTGTGAGGATTAGTGCCCTAGTATGGCACATCCCAGTTAGATTAGTGCCCCAGTATGGCACATAATCTCAGTATGCCACAGTTTTTTGCTTGTGTCCTTGTCTGCTGGACATATTTTCTTTAGCTCTGCTGGCAAAAGTCTGACCATTTTTTACTAGCCCTTTTTGTTTATTTTTCTCAATTGTGGAGTGGAAGGGAAGTGGAGTCCTGTGAGTGCCTTATCCAGACCTTGCTTGACAGACCCTGTCATGGTAACAAGTTGGCCACAAAGCGTTTAATGCCAAAAGCCATTAATGCTGCCTTTTTGTGCTTGCCTTGTCTCTGAAGACTCACTCTGTGAGTAGGCTGATTGGGCTGAGCCCTGAGAGCTACCACTCTTTTGGACAGCTAGGTGCCTTTTGAATTTCCCACTTTGAACCTGTCTTATTACAGGAGCAGTTAACGTTGTGGGACTAACTGCTGACCCCACTAGGAGAGGTGTCGCACACTCCACGCTCTTTCCTCCCATTCAACATCGAGAAAGCATTGCCCTGCTGCTGCTCCTGCTTTGCAAAGAGCTACGCAGCTCACACTTTAATGGGCGATTCCAGTTTTTCGGTATCGAGTAAGAGTACCAATATTTATGTTTCGGTACTTGCCAATACCAAGTGCCAATATCGGTACTTCCGCTAGCATGGAGCCGGCTTTCCAGGCAATCGGGAAGCTGGGCGACGTGTCCTTATCCGTTGCCCGGCTTCTTGATTGCCCAGGAAGCTGGCTCCATGTTGTTTGCCAGGTAGCAGGCTTCCCAGCCAATCTGCATCGAGCCAGCTGTTTGGCCCGCTCGATGTTGATTGGCCAGGAAGCCATCCTCCCGCCAATCGGCATGGACCCATGCTGTTTGGCAGTCACCATGCTGATGTAGCCGGCATGCCAGCTTCACGGCCAATAGGCATGGAGCCGGCATGCCAGCTTCGTGGCCAATCGGCATGGAGCCAGCTTCGCGGCCAATCAAGGAAGTGGATCATTACCTGCTGCCAGCCTTCCTGATTGGCTGGGAAGCCAGCTTCTCAGCCAGGCAGCATTGAGCCGGCCAAAGAGCGTGGAGCTGGTTTAGAGCCGGCTTCCCAGCCAATCAGGAAGCCGAGCGGTGAGCTGATTAGCCGGGAAGCCAGGTCCATGTTTCCTCCCGACACTGCCGATAAGAGGAAATTTTACTCTCACCAGAAGTTCGGGTATCAGGGTTAAGTATTGGAGCATTTGGGGCAAGTACTTGGTATCGTTCTACCAGGGTTCGGAATAATTAGTTTCACCCTGTACATTTAGTGTTCTTCAGTATGCTGACTCCAGTTTCTGCCCTGGTGTCTTCTCATGGCATCCCCATTGTGGGACACTCGGATGACCTCCCGTGGGCCTTATTGGCTAACACCTCCCTGATGAGCCTCATGGTTCCAAGATAGGCATGTTTAGCCTTAATGCTCCTCACCCTTGATTAATTAGTTTCTTGTTCCTTAAATGCTGCAAGTGAGTCAGACATCACTATCTCTTCTTGGACTACTGCATCTCTTCCCCCTGCTGTAGAGAATTTAGTTCCTGAACAGACTAGCTTTTTTGCCTCTGAGGAACAGGTATTCCCTGGCCGGATAAACCAGCCTTCCTGATCTGGGGCTGGTAAGAACTCCTCTTCCCATTCTGGATTACATTCTGGATTTCCTGAACAGGGGCTTCCTCCTACATCGCTGGATCATTCTCTGGCTAGTTGTACTGACAAGGTCACCGGGGCACAACATCGAAGTACTTATGTGCCCCTAAAGTCTAAGAGGAACAGAAGCACTTGTTATAAGAGTTGGTTTGGATCTTGAATAGAATGAAATCCTGTGTTCTAGTCCTGTTTGTCCATTTGGGGACAATGGTCCCCCACCCCCTCTTGGTTTATGGTCATGCTCTTGGTACTGGTTGCAGCAAAACTTGGGTTTACTAAGCTGGCCTACAGTTTTTTGGTTTGCCAGTGTCCTTTACTCCTGGCAAGTACAAGAAATCTATTCTTTCTGTTGGATAAGTGGGACCAAACAAATACTGTTTTTTGTTAGATAATGGATCTCTACAATAACTGTTCTTATTAGCACAAAGGTTTGGCTGTGATACTCTGACAATTCTTAGGAAACAGTGCTTGTGTACACTTTGCAGCAGCAACAAAAAACCATTTTGTGTTCACCTGAAGATTTATTTCTAAAATGTTAACCACAGGGGTTAAATATTGTGAAAATTGTGGTCGGGTTCACATTATTTAATGTATGTATAACTTCTTGTGTAACACGTTTATCTAGAAAAGTTGTTCCACTGAAACACCTTAAACCAGCCCAATTGACCGTCGGCAATAATGATGGCTGGAGCACTGTTGCGGGGAAGAAGATAAAAAAGCCTTCCGTGAGTGGCACGGTGGTGCAGTTCGGTAATTATCTTTACTGATGCCGTATGTGAATTTTAGGTGGTGTTGAACTTTTTATATGCAATGTTGATTATTTCTCTTTGACAGAGAAAGATAACCGAGGACAGAAGAGTTTAGTTAAACCACACAAGACTCAGTCTGTACCTTCTCCGCGCCTGCAGCAAGCCTCTGGAATCAAGCAGCATGGACTTCCTGCAGATCAGACTTCCCTGAGTGAGAGCAAAGGACAAAGCAAGGCTTCAAAAGTGCCTGGAAGGTAAGCTTTCAAAATGTGCAATTACCTTTTTAGAGTAACAGTCTTTGAGCAATTGTAAGCTATACACTCCACGCCAGAAGCCATGAAGCCATGTTGCCAGAAGCCATGTTGTAAGGGGTGTGAGCTTTAACTTAGCGGTTTTTATTCAGGAGTGGAAGGCTAGGAAATAAGTGAACCTTTCATTTTCATGTAAAGCCTCATAAAGTAAGACTGGGAACAGATGGAGAGAACAGTTAACTTCTAAGTTGTCACCTAGGCCTGTACTTGCACAGTCAGAGGAAAGGACGACATCCATATCCTTGGGTTACTCTGGAAGGTATCCCCCTCCTTTTTTTTTTTTCTTTTTTCAAACATGCTGGTGAAGACGCCTGGTAATCTAGTCAACCTCCATTCCAGTCCTTACATCTGCCTGGGCCACAAGCTTTGTCTTAACTAAATGCTTTAATGGATGTTGGGTTCATAAACACACAACTTCTTGCATTTAGGTGTTAGGGAAATTCTTCCCTCCCTTGTTCTGCTCTGCTTGTCTGAGATCCCTGGTGTTTTGTTTTCACCCCTCTGCATTTTCAAAGTCGGAGACATCCCACAGTTTATGTACGTGAAATGCTGTTTCCTTTAATGGACAATGAATATGTATATTATTTTTGTACTTTAAAATCTATTCTTGAAGTCCATTGAGGGATCCTGCCCCTTCCCCTATTGTGCTGTATGTTGCAACTGTTTTTGCACTGCTACAACTGAGCAGGATGGTTAGAGGAGGAGTTATTACCCCTAGGGGGTTGCCTTAGTTTTTTTGTGCCTAGTGTCAAATCTCCTATAGACGGCAGTGTCACCTACAGTTCATGAATATGAACTGCTGTGTCCCTCAATGGACAATGAAAATTGAAAAAGATCTTCAAGTAAGTACAAATTCCTATTTCATTACCTCCAACAGTTCATCTTCTCTGAAGAATGTGAAACAACTTTTCCACTGTAGCCAATGTGGCTTTTTATCTGTTTTATTGCTATTGTTATTCATCGGTTTGTGTTTTTGAATTTGTATGTAAGGAGAATAAATTGCAGACATTGTTAGCAGCCTTTATACTTTTCACAGAAAGCTTGATCGAGAAAGAGGTGACGAGTCAAGCTTCTACAAAAGGGAGAATGTCCACTTTGGCCTGACTCCAGAAGAACGCAGAGAGAAACAAGTAATTGAGGAGTCCAAGTCTTTGTATGAGATGCAGAACAGAGATACCGATGCATTTCCAACCCTTTCTGTAAGTATTTTTAACAGTTCTGGCCAAATCTCCATGATCATAGGAAAGGGCAACTGTTGGCAACACAGTAGATGGACAATGAAAAAGAAAATGATCACATTTGTGCAAAAGAGCAATACTGGCAATAGCCACGTGCGCAAACCATAGAAAGGTCCTGACTGCTGCTTGAGTGGCAAAGAAGTTAGACCTTTCTTCCCATTGCTTGTGCATAGAACACACAGGAAGAGGTGGTCAGTTCTGGTGTACCTCAAAATCAAAAGTCAGAAGAATAGAGTAGAAAATTTTAGTATAATAGAAAAAAAGAGTGAAGTCCTTTTTAAAAGCATAGTCCACATTTCTGCCAACGTTTCACGTTACACCCATGTTTAGGGTGCATTATGAAACATAATCCTGTTCCCACCCCCATCCTCCCGCCCCACACTTACCTGAATTGTGGGGTTCTTCTGCCTCTGGGCTCCTGTTTAGGTTTGAATTCTGCGCAGCTGTGCATGGCTCTGCTCACCGCATCATGCACTCATCTGTTCACAGGATCTGAATATGGAAAGACTACAAGTTATATCTGCCACCACGGTCAAGGGTCTGACAGGTCTCAATGGCGCACAAGTAGGTTAATGTTGAAGCACTTGTAGTCAATTTATTACTTCCTCTATTCCGATAACTAAAGGCCTGTACCTCAATTCAAACCTGGTACTGCAGGAACAGTCTACAGGAGCTTGTGTATTGCAACCATGATCCACTGATCATGGTTGCAATTCTTTGTAGGCTCCAATGCAAAACAATTAATTAAATGCACATTTTTTCTTTCACCAATGTGTGCGCAGTTATTTATTTATTCCAAAAAGTGGACTATACCTTTTAATAGTACCTTAGACATGAGTAAACAGTTGCTTAACATAGCTTACATTTTTCTTTTGATTTGTATATAGTCCACTCTTTTATGATTTAATGTTGGGAGTTGTAATCTGGACAGTAGAGACAGCCTCACTGTAAATTATTTTTGCACTTTGTTTTCACATACAAGACTTGGCGTTGGTAATGTAAAATAATTCCACCACAAATTATTTTAGGTGGAACAATCCATTAAACCCATAAAGCAAGGGAAATATGTAACATTTATATATTACAGACATTTATATAGTGTCAGCTATTTACACACTATTTTATTCACATCAGTCCCTGCCCTCAAGGATCTTACAATCTAAGGTCCCTATCTCATATGTATACATACTAGAGTCAATTTACCTACCAGCATGTCTAGCATCTGTGATAGAAAACTAGAGTACCTGGAGCAAACAACCATGCAAGCACAGGGAGAAAAAGCTCCATGCAGAGAGTTTTCTGGCTGGAATTTGAATCAAGGACCTCAGTACTGCAAGGCACAAATGCTAAACCACTGTGCAGCCCAGAAATATATTGAGGGAACCTAAACCCAGAAACGCTCAGCTCGTATTTCCTGTCATTCTTGCTGCTGCTCTAAATCTGGCATAGTTCTTCCCCTCATCACTAGTTTTAAACGTACAAGCAGCCACCTTGTTTTGCCTGTTTTTTTCCCCATAATTTGGATTAGCTCAATATATTAGGGTATGTGACAGGTTCTGTTTTTTTTTATTTTTTTAAATGTAGACTGGATTTCTTCCTAACAGATTTGGGAATGTTTTTTTTTCTTTCAGTCCATTTAAATAGTTGGTTTTGTTTCCAGGCTTCTATAGTCGATGCTGCTGCTTCAGGTTCTGAAACGAAAAAGAATCCGACAGTAAATCGAGAGAAGAGTGCCAGGAGAAAGTCAGAAGATGACCCGAGGGCTAAAGGTAAACCTAGTTCTGTGTAGGATTCTTTCACGGGTTTTATACTAATATTGTCATCCAATACTGCCTTCTCCTATTTTAGGTGAATGTTTAATATATCTGTTAGCGTTTAGACTTACTGACTTATCTTTGCCACTGCTTGTTAGTAATATGAGGTTTTACTTTTAATTAAGCTTCCAAACTGGCTCAACCTGCAAGAGTGGATGATCAGAAAACAAGTGAGGTATGCTATGAATAAATGATGATCTCGTAAATCTCTGCATTTGGAATCGCACATAAATGTGAACACATTTTCTCGCACCTGAAGACAGTGCCCACCTTTTTAAGCCAATTTATAATTTGGAAGGGTATGTGCAGCTGAAATTAACATCTACAGCCCAGAGTAAGCCATGAAAGACTGGGAGAGGGATAACACTGACACTAAGTCCAGTTTACTGATTTAGTTAGTTAAATATGAACATGATTATGCGTGCACCTATCAAAATAACAACTTGTCAATAACGGTACAACTAAATGTGCAGAAATTTGAAAATAACCTATATGGCTTAGTATTGTTTACTGGTACCTTGGTTGTAATGCTAGGTAATGGACATTTAATGTGGAAAATGTTGGTGACTAGTTTTTATTGCTGTGTCTATGTTCCTGTTGGTGAGATTTCAGGATGAGGACACTTGTAACACTTTTTTTTTTTAGGAGAGCGGTTAGAACTTCTCACAATGATTTGTTGCTGCCAAACCCATGTGCTTTGTACATGCATCACAGGCATAAGAAGCGGGGGTAAATTTCCCCAATGGGGTCACATCCTAAAATGAAAACCTGAAAAATCTTAACTTCTCCCCACTAAAGGTGGCCATACACTTTACAACCCTCGCAAGACTTTTGTCTTGCGAGAGTTGTAAAGTACTCATAAAAAACGTACAATCTGCCCATCTTGGACAGGCAGATCGTACTTGCGATCATCGCAAGCCCGCCCCCCTGAGGGGCGGGCTTACGATGACTGCAAACGGGCCGTTCGTCAGTTGTCAAACCAGCAGGCCACTAACTCGCCGAGTATCGTACGATTCCCGGCGGGTTTTGTAGCATGCTGGTTCGACGGAAGACGTGCGACCGTACAGTAGAAACGGTCGCACGCCTTCCATACACTGCACGATTATCGTACGATCGCGGGATTTCCCGAAATTCTCTTACGAGAATCGGGCAGTGTATGGGCACCTAAAGATAAACAAAAAGTGTGGGTTGAAGTTAGGATTCGAGACTGAGTGGTCTGATTTTTGCATAAACCCAGTTGTGACTGGTTCTATTTAACAATCAACAGGTATAGCTCCCTTATAATCATGCTGCTTTTTAAATTCTGGGAATATTACTGGCAGACCTAGACAAATCTTTCAAGACTGTTTGTTTCCAGATTTACTTAGGGTTTTGTAATTGGAATATGTATGTGTATGGCTCTCTGGAGACAATGGAAACATCCAATTGTAAAGGGAAAAGTTCAATATTGGCAAAGTTCAGAAGCCATTCCGTCATGGTTTGTGGTAGCTGTGCCTCTAGGGGCGCTCTTTTCATGTCAACTGATTTATCACTTATTTTAACCAGAAAAGTAATAGCAGCAAGTATTTAATTTTTTTTTAAATTAATATAAGCTGCCCCAAGGAGTTTTAGAGGACTAAAAACACATTGGGCTTCATTTTTTAGCATGCCTGAAACAAACTCCACTCACACAACAACCAACCTTGATTTCTCCAATGAAGAATACAAAACGAAGAGGAATGTAGCTGCTCTGGCAGCACAGTCTTCCTCAGGCATTTTGATAAATGAGGCCAAGTGTCTTGTACTCTGCATGTCCATTTGGTTGTAGTTTAAAGTTAACTGCAGAGGTGATACGAACATTACGTTATGTGGTAAAACTACTCTGATCACATTATGTAAAATCTCAAGTTGTGGATCTACCCTAGCTGATCCAGGGGGAACAGATTCTGCATTTTTTTTTTTGTATTGTCCTGCGTGTGCTGAGTGATCTTACAGCACACCTACTTTGGTCCAGGGGCTCACAATGACCCATGGTGCAAATTTGGCCCCTAGTCCCTTAGTGAGGGTGCCCATGTGGCCACACTCCTTGAGTGTCAGCTGACTGTTCTGCAGTAAGTCTAAAGTCAGATTCTGACTTGCACCATCAGGTGGTGTAACTTGCTCAGCGCCAAACCCCTCACCTTTGCTCACAACCTCATCATATGTTGCCCCCGGAATTATCCAAGTCTCAGCCTATGAACTCTCCCAGATGCTAAAGATTTCCCACCTCTTCCCATAGGGACAGGATGCCATCGCTGCCTGGGGACCATTTTTCAGTCTCATGCGCAGCAATGTATCATTTTGTTTTTTTTCTCAAGCCTATACCAGTCCATCTCCACGTGCAGGAGAACTATATCCGAAGTATGATGATATTCTTGTCTACATAATTAGTTTGGAGAGACCCAATTACATATTTTCTTGACCTTGTGGAAAAGCACAATGTTTTGCCTTTTTATAAAAAAAATGTAATGCTATCTCTAATGGCTTCTGTACTGCTATCCTAACAGCTCTGGTTTAAAGGTTTCCATTTTGGGTTTTTATGTACCGTATTTTTCGCTCCATAAGACACACTTTTTTTCCCCCAAAAGGAGGGGGAAAATGTGCCTGCGTCTTATGGAGCGAATACCTATCGCCCGACACCCGGGACATGCAGTTTCGGGCGCTGGGCAAGTCGTTTCTTTTTGTACATTCAGCCCTGCTCCTGACAAGCAGAGCTGAATGTACAGTGGGAGCCGCTGTTCGTTTAATACAAGCGATCTAAGTAGATCCCTTGTATTAAATCGAGCGGCGGCATCGGCGATAGTGTCCGCCCCCCGCCGAGGTTTTCTGGGTCCCCCGTTCCTATGCAGGACTGTGACCCATCACGATCCCCCATAGGAGCTCACCATAGAGCCCATTGAGCAGACGAAGAACGACGTTCTTCGTCTGCTCTGTGTGATTACTGAGACAGCGCCACCTGTCTCAGCAGTCACTAACTGCAGCTTCTGTGACAGAATTTCTGTCACAGAAGCCATGCGTCCTATCGTCCGGAGCGTCTTATAGACCGCAAAATACGGTATATCTTTTTTTCCTTATTTATCATTTAAAAAAAAATAAAAAATTTAACTTTGGTGAGATAAATAGGAAATACTGCATACTAATATTTTTACATGTGCATTATGCACTCATCAGGTGGAACACCTGGCTCCTTGTCCCATTCTTTTTCTGGGCTAGCTTGATTTTGTTTCCCTGCGAATCAGGGTTTAATCGTACTTTCTGTACAGGAAAAGACCATGGAGCACTGATTGCAGAAGTAAAACCGTTTAAAAATGCAAAAGTTTGTTATATTAATTTACAGGAAACATTTCTGTTTACAGGAAACAAAGCCACCTGCTACCTCTGATGAAGCTGTTGTGATGCCTAATGTCACTGTTCTTCCGACCCCTGCTGAACAGCAGACACCCACCACAGTGCCTTCTCAACCCCCAGTAGTGACACCTTGGTCAGGTCAGTTGGTCTCTTGAATTGCCTGCTAGTTGTTTTATGTTTTCAGACGCCTCTGGTAAGATTTGCCATATGGTAGTCTTATGTATCTACCCCTTCCACAAATACTTTTTTTTTCTGCTCTACATTACTGAGAATCCATTCAGGGGGGTGCAATGCACCATCATTTGGAAAAGAAGTAGCCATTTAGAAATTGAGATTTCTTCTTTTTTTTTTCTTTTTCCATTCAGGGACATGGGAAGAAAAGCACTGATGAAGCTTTTAGCAGGCAAATCGTAGGGAGACCTGTATGATTAGGCCCAGTCTTGTGGGTGGGGCATAGGACAAATCCTGGCCAGACATTTAACACCAATTGTTCCTGGAAGGGGAATCGTATAGGGGCCTGGGAGCAGCGAATTGTATCCTTTTACACAGCAGAACCCTAAGGTTAAGGACTTCCTGTGTCCCTTAGTAGATTCCAAGAAAAGCGTAGACTGGGTTATGCTGCCAACCTTTAGGAGAATTGGACACTGCCATCATGCTTCAGTTTTTTGTTTGGAGTGTGCTATGAGAATGGATATCTTCTCTACTCAGGGAAGCAAACTAATTTTCTTTGATGTTTCAAAATTTTTATCCAGATCACTTTTCTCTACATGCTGCCTAACGAGAAGAGCTCACTTTGCAGCTTGGTCCAAATTGGTTCATCCTCAGCCACGGATGCTGTACCCAGACTTTGCTGTGAGAAAGGAGCAGCTCCTGTCTGACCTGCGCTCACTGCACACTGCTTGGGGTGCTCTCCACTACTTTACAGGTCCAGGGCTGTGGTTCACCTACCTGGTGGAAGCCTGTCCCTGAAGACTCCTTAGGGAGTTTGGAGTGGTGAAGACTGTCTGGGAAGGGCTTTGTCTACCTAGGTCAGTGGTGGCGAACCTTGGCACTCCAGCTGTTCCAAAGCTACAAATCCCAACATGCATTTGCCTCTGGGAGTTATGTCTGTGGCTGTCAGAGCCTTGCAATGCCTCATGGGACTTGTAGTTCCAAAACAGCTGGAGTGCCAAGGCTCGCCACCACTGGTCTAGGTCCTACATGGGAATTCCTGTGAAGCCTTTACCATTTATGCCTGGCATGTGTTAACTGTGTCTCCGGCTTTTCTCCTCAGGGGTTAATGCTCCAGAGCTCCGTGCTGCGACACTTAAGTTACTTGGAAGAAACAGGCACTGCGCTACATTTTTGAATGTCTTGCAGATGTCTGCAGAACAGTAAACGTAACCTTTTTGTCTAAATTGTTTGAGAAGCTCTTTATTAAACAATACTGCAGTAACAGCTTTCGTGCAGTTGACCTTTACAAGACGCAAGGCAACTCTGTTGAGTTTACTTGGTTACAAAAAATGGGGTAGCCTATAGCAATAATTCAGCATTCCTTCATTTGTCTGACAAAAGTAGAAACCTTTCATTTCTGGAGTCCCCTGTTAATGGTGAACTGCTTTCACTACACCAAAGTTACCTTGAAGTTTCAGAGCACATTTGCTTTGTTGCTGCTGGCTAATGTGAACGGAGTGTGAGCTTATGCAGGAAGTAGCGGTTTGGAAGGGTCAACACTGTGTCCCTGCCGGATTTTCAGCCACTGCTTATTCCAAGGAAGACCGATCATTGAGGTACACTGGGGAATGTCAGCGATCAAGCTATGTATTTATCTTTAGGCTCTTTTCACAATCGAATAGTTGACACCTTTTTTTTTTTTTCTTTTTTTTGGTAGGTATTTCAGCACCAGTATCGACTTGTGCTGAAACCACTTCTGACTCTGCTGTGTTAGAACCTCAGGTGACATCAACCTTCTCACCACTACCCGCTTCAATGCCAGCAGTTAGCCAACACTTACTGCCAATGCCTCAGGCCTTGAGTCCTTACCAAGATCCTCTTTATCCCGGATTCCCTGTGAATGAAAAGGGGGAAAGGATTACTTCCCCACCTCCCTATTCCTATTGTAAGAATGGAAGTGATCTCCCTAGTGGTAAGTTGGGCTGTAGCAGGTATATTCAACCTGCAAATAAATGGTATAGATAAAGGAAATGCAACCGCTCTGCATGTTTTTTTTTAATTTTCTTTCCCTTCTGATGTTTTTCCCTTTAGATAAATGCATCCTTCATTTCTTCTATAATCTTGGCGTTAAGGTTAGTCATTTCTTTCCAGTATGGTTGTCTATTTTCAGGAGTATTGTTGTGGCTGCCAAATCAGTTGTTTGCTGTGGAGGGGGGGGGGTCATATACAACTTAATTTTGGTGGATGTGTTATTTAACAGCCTGTAGTCTTTGAAAAAATATGCTGTAAACCTGGGGATTAATAAAGTATGCATTGTGCTTATTTAAAGTGTACTATCCATGAAAATGGAAGGTCTGCTTAGCTGACCGCCTAGATGAAAAAGGGACATAAATAATGGCCAAAATACTGCATCTTAAGACAAAAATAATAAAATACTTTAGTTTTGTTTTTTTCCACTCACCTCATAGTTCTAAGCCGACCTGTGACAATGAGACTGTCACAGGTCGGCTCAGTAGATCGGGAGGTGAGCGAACACATACCGGGTTCCCTTACCTCTCGATCCTGTCACGGCTCTCTGCCAAATAAATACCACCAAAAGAAAGCTCTATCTGTCCCCAAAAAAGGGTATAAAATTCATTTCAGTACAGCGCTGCATGACGGAATAAATGTCAGTTAAAGTACCGCAGCGCTGAATACTGAAAAATGGCCTGGATGGGAAGGGGGTTTAACACCCCGGATGTCAACTGGTTAACCATGGAAGGTTAAAAATACATGATTAAAAGAGAACTATGGGGTAATCTTTTTTTTTTCCCCCAGAGTTCTCTTTAGGGTCACAGGGGAACATATACTTGCGTCCTCCCATGACCCAAAACTCCGTGTATAGCAGGATATTGCCTGCTATATGCTGAGATTGCCACATCTGGGACAGATACTGACAATACTGTCAAGATCCAGCTGGCTGATTGACAGTGGGCTCTGCCTATCTAGAGTTAGGGCTAGCTATGACCGCCTTCTTCCCCGTCCGTCCCTCCAGTCAACGCTGGAGGAGGGGAGAGGGGGAATCCCTGTGGGGAGCGGTGACTGACAGGCTTTATTCAGCAGGGAGATCATCAGCGAACAGATGTTGGTAGGAATCTGTTTAGGCATACATTGCTGGTAGCGAAAGGGTTAAATGAAGTTTCATAATACACTAGCATGTCTGCTCTGCAGAGCTCCTTCTGGTTGTTGCAGGTGAACTTCACTGTTAAAAAATGGTGAAAAGTTGGGCTAAGATCTTGCCTTCTCTATTATGTCATAGTTGTAGTGGCAAGCTTACCTTTAATGTCCTATATAAGCAGGACATGCAGGAGAGTGAGAATTTTCAAACTAAGGTTTTGTGCCAACTATAGTAAGCAGCTATAAACCTTGCCTGCTCACTTTTTCTCTTCCAACAACTCTGGCCTGTGCAAACAACTAATTTATTAGTTACAATATTGATTTTATTACAGATAATTTATATAGCACCAACAATTTACCACACGCTATGCATCTTGTACATTCACACCAGTCCCTACCTTCAAGGAGATGACAATCCAAGGTCCCTACCTTACATTCACACATTCACATACTAGGGACAATTTAGATAGGAGCCAATTAGATTCACAACATGTCTTTGGAGCGTGGGAGGAAACTGAAGTACTCCAAGGAAGCCCATGCAAGCTCTATGCAGGTAGTGTCCTGGTTAGGATTTAAACAGAGAAGCCTCGTGCTGCAAGGCAGGAGTGCTAACCAATACACACTGTGCTGTTCCAGTATAGATCTGTTACATGAATAGGATTACAATAATATCAGTTTGTTCATATTGGTTTCTTTTACAATTCACAGAATTCTATCTGATTTGTTTTCCAGGCTTACACATGTCCAATGTGGCCCCCACATTTATATTTGCATCCTCTTCATCAAGCCTACTTAAATGTGTGCAGGATATATCCAAATATTCCTGTTTACCCTCAAAACAGTTGGATGCAAGACGTCACTGTAAATCCAAATGACGCAGACCCTTCACTGTTAGTACCCCAGAATGAAGTGAGGTATGATGACCAGTGTTCACAGCCAGCTACTTTATGCTCTTCAGCGCCCCTTACACCATCTGTCCAAGTTCCTGAAATAGCAGGACACCTTTCATCCCAAGCTAATGAATTGGAGGACAAGCTCCACTTCCAACCCATGGTAGGTGACTGTGAAGGCACCCAGGCAAGCAAGGCAATATTCCCACAACCTCATTTTGGGCAAGGCTCTTACATGGGGCATCTTCCAGTAGCTCCCCAAGTTTTTTCACAAGTGTGGTATGGATATCCATATCAAGGATACATTGAGAACCCAGTGGTACAACATAATGTTTATATCCCCCCTCAGAGTAGAAATGTGCCTGCCAGCACTTTGTCTGTTGATGTTGCAGAATGCAGCTCAGTTGAAGGAACTATAAAGCAGCACCAAGAGCTAATGCATGAAAGCAGACCAGATATGCCTTTGTTTATTAATGTCGCTGCTGTTGAAGAGCTGGTCAAACCAGGACAGCAAATACATTTAGATAGTCCTGAGATGGTTGATCAGAAGAGCCTTATTGAAAAAGTGCCTGAAAGCCGGGTGTTGCCATCAGTTGTAACTAAAACCTCAGAAGAACAGAGGTCCACTGACCAAGTCAGACAGTTAACCACAGAGACCGCATCTGTAAACCCACCTGAAGACAGACCACTGAGGGCAAAAGAGGAGAGCTCAGAGGATGAGAGGGAAATATGTAATATATTGAGTGGTGGCAGATCAAAGAACTTCTACAACCAGTCATATGGGAACAGGAGGTTCAGAAATGAGAAATTTCATCAACCCAACAGAGGTGGCTACCAGTATTCGAGAAATGAGGAGGCCTGGAGGGGAGCAAGAGGCAGGGAAGATGGCTATCCACACTACAGAAGTTACAGGGGAAGGCCGAATCGAAGACGGCCGATGGGGGAGCCATATAGGCAATACCATGAATAGAATTGCAGAGTGAGTTTGTATTTATTTGGACAGTTTACTTAAGATAATAAAATACAGAATCTATTTAATATTTGGGTTCAGGGAAAAGTTTCAAATAGTTTGTAGCCATAGACTTTCTTTTGGCTGAATTTGTAGGGTTTTTTTTCTCTCTTTAATATATAGACTCACTAGTGGGGATTGTTTCAAATGTTTTGTTTGTAGAAATAGAATTTATCATATGAAACCGTTGTTTCGAGGAGGACCCTTAATGTAGATGGTGGCCTCCTCAGCATTGGCACATTTCTCAGTATGTTAATGCAGTGAAAATTGTCATGCCAAATAGCGATTGTCATATTTTTAACTTGCCTTAGAGTGCTTTAGACATTTTACAAAGCTCAGTATGATAAAACTGCTTTTGATTGTGCTTCAATTCCCAAAGGCCTTTGATTTTGTGAGATCGACAACCTCCTATTTAGCACTGCAGGGGTGAAACTAAACTTGAATGTTGTTTCCTGTTGTGGCTTACTGTAAATATGACATTGTTTAACCACTTTTAGCTCATGGTTTCCCTCATAAGTGTCTGGTCCTCTGATACAGCCTTTCAGTACACAGGGCCCTTGTTATCAACAATCACGAACAAATGTCAGAACTTCCTTACTGCTCCACTACAACTACTGATGTGATTTTTCACGTGTATAGAAGCCATGGCACCAAAAAGCACCTTCCCTTTTATCACTAGTGTGACCTGGCAGGTGCAGGCAGCTGCCTTGTTGCGTAGATAGACGCAACTACCATTACCTGTAGTTCATGGCAGCAGAATTTGAAGCCCAAGTTAATGCATGTGCCTTGGTAACTAATTGTTAATTGTTTTTATTTCCCCCCTCAATAAAAGCTGCAGTGACCATGTGTGAGTGGATGGATCACATAGAAACACATGACAATGATACATTTCCTTCCTAATGCCAAGATAACTTGATTTTCAAGATGCATTCAGAGCATTTTCACTGCATGTCCAGTCTGCGGGTGTTTGGGGAAGTCTGATACAGTTCGTGGACAGGCAGTAAAAGAACTCCTGTAAGGATTTAGGTATGCAAGAATATGGACAGTTATCTTGAGCAGCCATCTCTTTGTTGCTGTTTGGCAAAACTCTGGGAACAAAGGAGTCACTGAACATATGGTGACCACATTTACTGTTCACAAAACTACAGGGGTAGAAAAAGTTTTAATATGTCTTGGAGTAAAGACGCTGTTTACAGTATTTGTGTGTTTTATACTCTGCCACTTTGCCCCAATTGCCTGTGTGGTTACCACAGAGCTGTGTGAGCTTATGCTGCAAATACAGCTAAGCTCCACTGGACAGGAGTCCACAGCTGATCATTAAGCTGAAAGAGATGCTTTAAAATGAGCAAGTCCTATGCAAGGAGCACGTTCACATATGCTAAACTTCATAGCCTGCCATCCGCAGCTAGAAAACAATTAGGGGACTGACAGTTGCACAGTTCAATCGGTATACCCAATAAACGGATAGCTGCTAGCAATAATTCGAAGCTACAGAAAAAAAATTGACGTCTTGAGCTCTGGCACAGGACACAGGAAAGAAAATGGATGCTACACTTTGCACTGACGTATTGTAAAGATGTGTAAGAACTTAAAGTATATTATTTTAACTATATAGATAAACCTTATGCCTCAGTATGTTCGATTTGTGTTTTTTTAAGATTGTTAGAACTTAACATGATGATTTTTGTTGTACTGATATTTAATTTCCTGATTCCCCTACCCAGTTAAGGTTTCTTTTTTTTTTTTTTTTGGATTGTGGTGGACTCTTGAATGTTTCATTTTTTCTTTGACTGCAAATGTAAAATATACTCGAGACATATTGTTTCCAGGGATGGTTTCTTTGAAGAATAGGTTATTGTTCTTTATATATCCTGAGTGCAGTGTTTTAGAGCAGCTTTGCACTTATGTTTACAGGTTATGTTTGCTGGTTTTTTATACTTCATCTATATATGTAAAGAATTTGTTTAACATTGACTCCTATGCATGGATAATTTTGATTCATCAATGTTTTTTATAGGAACATTATTTCTATGCTTGTCTGTCTTGTTTTTATGCTGTCTCAAAAGAAAATGTTTGCAAATAAAATGTGTCTGTTTAAAATTTGTTGCTAAAAACTGCTTTTCTTTTTGCAAAAACAAATACTTTTTTGAAAGCAGGGGGTTTATCGCATAAATTATGAATTGGTACAGTAAACGCCATAAACATTCAATTGTGTAAATTGGATTGATCTGTGCTCCAGTATGGCCAATAGAAAGAAATATGACCAAGTCAGATATATAAAACAGCGGTTTTATAGACCGTTACCAAGGTTGTCCCATATAAATTGAATACAGTAAGGTAAACCCGCAGAACATTAGGAATCCAAAAGTCTTGTTTTTATTTGTTGTTGCCGCCTGTTCCAGATTTTAACACGTATTAAAACCCTAAAAACAAATGTAATATATTGCAGCTTAAAGTTCATCTTTTAAGAAAGTTTGATAAAACAAACTTACTCACAGCACCTCCCCCAGTCCCCACTGCACTTACCTGTGTGATGCCTCCATCAGCCAGTGTAACTATTCATATAAATCGTACACTGCACTTCACAGCCCCACGATCTGTAATGATTATAATGCTGGCAAATGGTGAGTGCTCATTGGTCAGCAGTCATATGCACCAGCGGGTGTAGCAAAGCACGTTACACCGAGCGTGCTTTGTGCAGAGCCTAGTGTACACACAGGTGTAAAGCTTGGCAAAACTTAAATTTTTATTTTGTTGTCTGATCTTGCAGTAAAGCTCAAGCAAACTGATCCAGTAGCAGCACTTGCTGCGTGCACAAACTTATATAAAAAGCAAAATAAAACAAACACAGGCTACTACAAACATACATACACATGCACTCACTACACTATCCTTTCTAGTACATGTAATGGTTTCTAAGAGCGGAAACAATAGTACTTGGCTTCTGGTTGCAGTCTTTGGTGTCCAAGTCCTTTTGTTTCAGAGTTCCATGGTGAGTCCTCTCTTGTTCAGAGTGATGTCTTCTCTTGCTCAAAGTTCCATTCTGAAGCCCTCCTTTCAGTTTTGAGCTAATGACTTTTATTAGAAAAATTGGCATCCCACCTGTGGCTGGTGCCCCTTAAGACTTGTATGAGTCCCTATGCAACCTGCATTTCACTTTTTACAGCTCTAGGTGGCAGCGTTGTAATCATGAATTGCCATCAGTAGTCAATGGTGAATAAGCCTTGACCAGACTAGGTGTGATTGTTTACACAAGGTTTCCCCCTAACACCATCCCATTGTGATATGAATAATGGGGAAACAATACAGGGCAGAATTGGCTCTGCAGGAACTGAAGATCTACCCAAGAAGAAAAAACACCAAAAGGATAAGAAAGGTTTGATTCTCTGAGTAGAGAAGACATCCATTCTTCTAGGGCACTAGAAAATAAAAACAAAAAGCGGACGCATGCGGGGATTGGGAGGGCTTATACTGTAATGTCCTTACAGCTCGTTTGCCAGTTGCCATTCTGCTGAAAGCCGCAAAACCCAAGGTTCCCGAATTTCTACGCTGTGTTCTGTAATGTACCATTAAGGAAAATAAATTTTTAGCAGCAGTGAAGACTTTGCTGTTGTCTAAACAGCTGGTGATAGTTGGCCTGTCACATGGTGTTGGTGCTTGGTAAAGAGATGGCCAGATAGGAGAGTGTATAGGGGACCCGTGTGAAAATTTCTCTTTTTTTTTGTTTTATGGTCCACAGGGTGTTGGGTAGGGAGACTTTAGGTGCCTTAACCTGGCCATACACTGGTCGGTTTTTGTGGGTCACATTTCTGCCATGTTGGAGTCTTCTGGTCGCCAAGGGCGAAAGGAAATCCTCCTGACTCTGAGAGACAAGAACATTGCCTGTTCTCGGTTTCCTGAGCAGCATGAGGAAGGTGAGTTGTTGGAGGGAAATGCTTCAGAGGATTCCTCCATGGAAGAAATTAGGGATGCACCGATACCACTTTTTTAAGACCGAGTACCGATACTTTTGATCAAGTACTCGCAGATACCAATTACCGATACTTTTTCTTAAAGGGACAGGTCACATTTTTTTCTAAAGCAATACAAACTAATGCTTTAAGGTCACTTTCTTAATATTATGATTCATTAGATGATGAGGGAGCATGACGCCGGCTTCCCGGCCAATCAGAATGCTGGGCGCTGCGTCATTACACGGCGCCCGACTTCCAGATTTGCTAGCTTCCTGACCAATCGGGAAGCCGGGCAGCGCGTCATTGCACGCTACCCGACTTCCTGATTGGCCGGGAAGTTGGCTCCATGCTCTCATCACAAGTGACGAGAGAGCATGGAGCCGTTTCCTGGCCAATCAGGAAACCGGGCAGCGTGTAATGATTTGCTGCCCGGCTTCCTGATACAGGAAGTACTCGTGCTAGGTATCGGAGCATTTGGGCGAGTACGAGTACTCACCCAAATACTCGGTATCGGTGCATCCCTAGAAGAAATAGCTTCAGTGGTGTTAGGCCCTTAGATTCCACCACTTCGAAACTTAAAGGAGAACTATGGGGTTCTATCTTTTTTTTATGAATGCATTCCTTAGGCTAAATAAGTAAATAATGTAATTTACTGTAATTAGCCAAAATGCACAGGAAGGCTGTGAAACCTTATTTTAGGTGATGGGCGGGGCTAAGCGCCGCAATGAGAAGACATCCCGACGTATCTGACGGGATCCTCCCCACTGATGATTGACAGTGATTCTTGAGCGGCTGCGCGTCCACAAATATATGGACATGTGCAGCAGCTCTCTCCTTACCTGCACGTTCCCGTGTGCCAGCTCCTTCCCCACTCTCTCTTTCTCTCCCTGCTGACAGATCGGGGATCGCTGATGACAATCTGGAACAAGCGTGCAGCCCGTGATGATGGAACTCCTATACTTGTTTCAGGTCACACGTCCCCGTGTGCCAGCTCCCCTGCAGAGTCAATAGCAACAGACCTCCAAACTTCATGTGGCCTTCAGATTGGCACAACAACAGTGTGTAGAGAGCTTCATGGAATGGGTTTCCATGGCCGAGCAGCTGCATCCAAGCCTTACATCACCAAGTGCAATGCAAAGCGGCCGATGCAGTTGTGTAAAGCACGCCGCCACTGGACTCTAGAGGAGTGGAGACATGTTCTCTGGAGTGACAAATCACACTTCTGTCACTTATGGCAATCTGATGGACGTGTCTGGGTTTGATGGTTGACAGGAGAATGGTACTTGCCTGACTGCATTGTGCTAAGTGTAAAGTTTGGTGGAGGGGGGATTATGGTGTGGGGTTGTTTCTCAGGGGTTGGGCTTGGCCCCTTGGTTCCAGTGTAGGGAACTCTTAAGGCATCAGCATACCAAGACATTTTGGACAATTTCATGCTCCCAACTTTGTGGGAACTGTTTGGGGATGGCCCCTTCCTGTTCTAACATGACTGCGCACCAGTGCCCAGAGCAAGGTCAATAAAGACATGGATGAGTGACTTTGTGGTGGAGGAACTTGACTGGCCTGCACAGAGTCATGACCTCAACCCGATAGAACACCTTTGGGATGAATTAGAGCGGAGACTGCAAGCCAGGGCGTCCCGTCCAACATCAGTACCTGACCTCACAAAATGCGCTTCTGGAAGAATGGTCAAACATTCCCGTAGACACACTCCTAAACCTTGTGGACTCCTAAACCTTGTGGACACCTTCCCAGAAGAGTTGAAGCTGTTATAGCAGCAAAGGGTGGGCCAACTCAATATTGAACCCTACGGACTAAGACTGGGATGCCATTAAAGTTCATGTGCGTGTAAAGGCAGGTGTCCCAATACTTTTGGTAATATAGTGTATGTGTCTCTTGCAGATAAAATGTACATGTGCCGCCCCAACGGGGCAAAGAATATGAGATGCATAGCCTCAGTTAATATTAGCATTGTTTTAGATAGAGTTATTATAGTGTGTTTTTGCCTAACTATTTTCCCCATAGCAAATCCATGTCTTATCCTATGCTGCCATCTAGTGGCCTTTGTGATATCACACATGTCTTTTCTGTATTTCTGTTCCCCATGTGAGGACATATTTCCAGTCTATGTATGCCCCTCCCTTCTTCCTGTGTGCAGTACTTCCTGTGTCATGGCCACAGCTACTAGCCACATGTAACAAGGACACTCATGTAATCTGCACAGTACGTAGGAAAGGCATCATTTTCTGACCGCACAATACTATAACCGTTCAACTGCTGTTCCTATCATCTGCTGTAACCTGATGTTAAAGAATAAACACCTCTTTTGAATGAATCGGTATTGACGAGTTCAGCTATCTGACGAGGATTGTCCGCAGTGAGTATATCTGCTTATACAGGCCAGGCATAGAGGTCTCAGCAAGGGATATATTTCGCTATCACAACGATCGGAGTCAGAATAGTACACAAACCTCTCTAAACAGTAGTCTACAAATCTTTCATACACTAACACAATCCTCAAATGACCTTCCAGGAGATTTCACATTAGCTCATTGTAGACTCTAAAACTTGGGGCCCATTCACAACATTGTGCAGTAATAACATGCACATTGCTACAAATTACAGCAATGTGTGATCTATTGATTCTTAGAGCAGTGCAGCGCACAGCAATAGACTAAAACATGCATCAACTATTTTTGCTCCATTGTGCATATGGCAGCCCACCCAAAAGAATGGGTTGCCCCAAATAAACCCGCAAAACCATGACATGTTCAACGATGCACCCGAAACCGGACTGATGTGAATGGGCTTATATTGAATCACATGGTACCCATAATTTAAATCATTTTTAATTTATACAAGCAGCCTGTCTTAGCAGTCAATGACTTGGATGCATTTTATTGGCCACAGAGATCAAAGCACCTCTCCAATCAGGATTTGCTGCATGAAGGGAGTAGACAGATGCATGAAGGGAGTAGACAGATGCATGAAGGGAGTAGACAGATACAATACAAATTTGACCCTGCATACAGAAATGGAAAGCTATTGCTACAATCTAATACATTGTTTGTTGTCAGTAGTTTTGATAATTCAGAGCATTGCAGAGGAGATTACAAGCCGTGACACTGTTACAGCTTGTATAGTGAGGAGGCAGCAGTGTGCAGTGAGAGAGGATTCCTCTCGGCCTCATGTGTAGGCAAAGAAAGATGTGTACGTGACCAGGATCAACATTCACAGCTCTTTCTAAGTGACAGGAAGTGTGAATGGTGAGAAGAGACACGGGAGCGAGCACAGCTGACTTTCTAAACGGATTATAATATTAAAGACTATTTGAAAACATAAATAAATGTGTCTTTGGAGAATGTTCATTGTGTGTGTACAAGGAGAAAAAAGCTGAGGGTTTTGCGTCACTTTATTTAACCTTGAAAAAAAAAAAAGCAGGACGACAACTTTGAGGTGGATGTTTATTTCTGAAAACCTCAGAGGTTGGGGACTTAAAACAAGATGGTACTCTTGATGGCAGCTTTTTAGAAACCATACTTTAGAGAAATACAGCTCACAAAGCTCTAAAATTGGGGGGAACAAATCTTCATGACAAATAAATTAGATATGTTATGAAACCATAACAAACTATACTCTGCAGAAACAATGGATAGAAAATGTTTCATTACGTTAGCAGGCGGCTGTCTGGGACGCTTCCTCAGCATAGATTTACTGTGGAGTTTTCTGGGATGTTTTGTAACGTTACAATAGAATTTAATGAAGGGAACAAAACTTTTCAAACTGGTTTAGTCATCCAAGAAAAAATAGTTTCCGCTCTTCTTCTGTTCCACATCCTAACAGAAAAGAAAAAACACATAACTGCCATGCAATGACGTAGCAGAGGCGTTAACCACTTGCTGCCCGGAGCAATTTCTTACATTTGCGCACACATGATAAAATATGAATGTTTGGCTAGAAAACAGCTTCAGATCCCCAATGATATATTCCCTGAAAGCAGAGGCTCTGTAGAATACATTTTATGTTGCACGGTATTTGCGCAAATGTTTATCAAACAAGTATTTATAGGATAAAATACACTAAAATTAAATTTAATGCAAAGAGAATATAATACACATTTTTGGTAAAATATAAAAGGCAGGGTCACGCAGGGTAAATAGATACCAAACATGTCAAGCCTTAAAATTGCGTGCGTCTGTGAAACCGCAAAAAACTATAATAACCAAAATTTCCCATAGACTACTCAAACGCTTTTATGGCTCATCAGTTTAGTGCTAACAGTGAGTGATGGGCCTAGAATGATTGCTCTCACTGATGCTTGTGACGATATGCAACGTGTGGCGCAAGCAATGTGGCAGGTCCTCTTTATGGAGACATCAGAGGTCTTTCAGACCCCTAATTGTCACCTAGGGACCCCAAAGAAGCTGATGAAGAGCTCTGATTCACCAGCTTCTTATTCTGGCTCTAGGAGCTGGGAAATGTGCCCAGTGACAGCAGAAGTGATGTAATACACATCACTTCTGGGTCCAGTGATCAGTGGAGAGACCTGCACCTGGAAGCCATTGATCTCTCCTCCGATCTATCAGGGGAGACCCACCAGACCATTCCCCAAGCTCACATGGGGGACAGTGGGGCCTGGGAAGCGGAGGGGGGGGTACAGCGCCTGTATTTAAAACAGCAATCGCCAGCTGTTTTAAACACCACTACTATATGCTTGTAAGCCCCCCTATGTGATAGCAATTAAAGTTAAAAAAATAATTTTTAATATTTAAAAAAAATTAAAGTGCCCCGCGAGCATGCGCGTCTTCACATAAAAACGCGTCAGTTGTACCTATGTATGAAAATGACCACTGCGCTACACATGTTGCGTATCGCCGTGCACGGCGGGCATTAATTCTAGGGCCAATATTTATGCGCATCTCTAAATTGATGACCTGCGGGGGCTTTTAAAGCGTCGTCTATGGACTTTTTGGGGTACGGACGCACACAATTTTTAACCTGGGCATGTTGGGTATATATTTACTTGTGATAACCTCATCTTTTATATTTATGGATATTCTATTGTGTTTTGGGATATTTACGCATCAACCGAGAAAAAAGTATTTTGAGGACCGGCATGACAGCCAGGTAACTAGATCAGTAATAGCAGCCTCCACATTTCTCTCATAACAGGTTTCCTTAGTATATGGGAGTCTGTGCACTTACCTTAATAGAATTCATTTTGTTTATTCTTGGTCTGTAGTTGTTGGGGTCTCTCCTAAATGTGATTTCCAGCTGAGATAAAAATTTGTTCATACCAGCCAGTAGTGTCTGCGGGCTACAAAAGACAAAATGTACTTGATGAATTTGAAGAAATGTCAGGTGTTGGAAAAGAAAAGTCCAGTATTATGTAAAAGCTTTATTTCCATACACGCAAGGTTAGCGGCTTAAGGCTGCACTACTAACTGGTAAAAGTACTCAAATCCGTGGCCCCAATCTAGTGGAACGATCGGTAACAGTCTCACACTGCCTCTCGTCCCCCGTGATCAGCAGGCACAACAATCTGGCCAACTCCCCAAACCTGTAGAGTTTAAGTCTTCCATCACCAAACTTCAACTTTCTTGAAGTAAATAGTCACCCGAGCTGGGGACGCATCGCTCCCAGATAAGTTTAAATGGAAAGATTTGTCAATTTAGAATAATTTCTTTTGTCCTCAATGCAAAACGTTTAAGACAAACCTCTTAATGATACGGAACTACAGGGAATAGCCAATTATGAATCATGTTATACAAAGTTTCTTCTTCCCAAATCCAAAAATCAATAGTTAGTGCTCCTTTCGAGGTCCAAAACATGCAAATCTTGTGTTCTGGCCCTTTGGCCGGATGTGAAATAAGGGCCACTTTAGCGCACTGACACTAGGTATATAAAAACGCAGTTAAAGTCACAAAAAGATCTGAAAGTCAGACAGACATTGTAGTCAGACACTATTTTGGAATCTATAGAGTGACGTAGACACGGTTTAGAATTTTGTTGCGCTTCTGTGACAGATCCATGTACCAAACGAAACATTCCATGAACCTGTTGTATGTAGGCCAGCATGGATGTCAGAGTGCCCATAGTGTCCACCTGCAGCTCAGGAACGCTAAGACTGATAAGAAGGGTCACTGAGCTCCCTGTCCGACCACTATACCCATCAGGGGTGTGGAATTTGTATCGCCCGGGACATGTAGTTCCGGGTGCCGGGCAAGTTGTTTTGTCACTATTTTAGCCCTGCTACGGACAAGTAGCAGGGCTGGGTTTTTTTTCTTAAACGAGCGCCGAGAGCGGCGCTGCGAGCAGGGGGCGTGGACGGATCTCTGAGAACTAGGGACGGAGCGGAGGGCGTGGAGCCATGACGTGGCTGGGGGCGTGGAGCCGTGACGAAGCCGGACAGTGGAGCTGTGACAGGCTCTGTCACCTCCCTCAGCCTCTGTACCCGGCGGCCGCTGCTCGTTCCTGTCACAGGAGTTCTAGCAACAGTGCTGTGCTAGAACTCCTGTGTTGGAGGTGACAGGGTCAATAAAGAGTACCTGTCACCTCCAAATCCTACCACACAGGATTATTATTCCCTGTGTGATAGCAATACAGTTACGTTTGTTTTTTTTTTTTAAATAGTTAAAATGAAAAAGTGAAATGAAATAATAAAACAAATGAAATTTTTTTACAAAGTAAATACAAATTTTAAAAAGGAAAACCAGCCCCGCTGTCCCCATCCGCATGCGAATAAACGCGCAGTGTTTTCAACTGCAATTGTGTGCAATCGCTTGGGCAGGGCAGTATTGCAGCAGGAAAACGCGCAATCTGCCTGGCATGACTGGGGTGTCATTAGAAAATAATGGCACTGCCAGTGCGATCGGCAGGGATGTGAGATCCGTGACTGCCCGGTCATCGTGCACGAAACCGAGCGGATGGCTGGGTGGTTACGGAATCGCACACCACCGCCGATCGCGCTGGCAGTGCCATTATTTTTTAATGACACCCCAGTTGTGCCAGGCAGATTGCGCGTTTTCCTGCTGCAATACCGCCGCGGGCAATAACGGTTGAAAACAGTGCACGGTGCATGTCGTGAAAATAGGTACATCTACCTTTTTTTCAGCGATTGCCACGCAGATGTAACCCCATACATGCGGATGCAGCCGCTGTATGCAAACGCACACGATCGCACGTCCTGGGAATCCCCAAGTCTGCACCAACCCTAAAGGGTAAATTCACTTTCCCAAGTAATTTGGGAAAATGGAATTACCCGCACAAATCTCCCTCCCACTATACTTACCTTTCGGCAAACGGTCCTTCCCGTCCACCAGTACGGGTGTACTATCTGTACGTGTTCCATGTATTCTGAATTTTGCTCGCAATTGCAAGCACTCGTTGGTCAACGCAGTCACCTGACGGCACTGACCAATGAGAAGTGCTTCTTAACACTGCTAAATACGGCTTTGGTTAAAATTATTTTTTTGTATCAGGACAAGTAGATTCGGCCCCCGCTTTAGTCCTTGGACAAGTAGTTTTTTCTAAAATTTCCACACCCCTGCCCATCACAGGCAAGCACATCGGCCAAGGGATTTTGCTGTTCGGTGGGCAGAGTCTCATAGGAATTCTGAGAAACTAGCTCCTCATCAGGTCTGCCTTCCTTGCGATTGGCAGCTAACGGCTATAGAACCCACCCACTGCCAATCACAAGGAAGGTGGACCTGATGGGGAACGGAGAGACTAGTTACCTGCAGTTTCCAAATCTATGAACTGGTGGTAATTCTATTTGAACTTGTTACAACCAAAGTGGCACATTGTGAAAGCGGCGCAAATAAGAACTATCTTACTGTAGCACATGTCAGGACAGTCACAAGACACAGAATTTTCTAATGCACCCAATACTGCCAGAAAAAAAAGTGTCACAAATACTCCCACTTCCTAAAACAGCAGTAGTACAGGGTGTCTTAAAGAGGAACTATACCCATATCTTCAAAACAACAACAAAGGCACCTTTAGAAATATTTAGTAATGACAATCTACAAGCACATACTTCTAGATAATTGCCGGCTTTATATTCTTTGCATACTATATTTTTCTTTTCTTGCCCATTCTTCTCACCGTGGCCATTTTAACTAAGGGCACTCCACTTAATTCCTGGAACTCTGGCACGTGTGATTAGGACATGTGACCACGAACTTCATCTCAGGGGAGGAAAATGCCTTTGTCTGAGATCATAGATGAGATTTCCCAGCAATGCTCTGCTGATGTAACCTTCCCAGGATGCAAAGCTTGGGCACATTACATCATTTGTGCCAAATCAGACCAGGAAAAAAAAAAAATTGTAAGCAAAATGAAAATATGTTTGTTTAGCTAATGAATGTAAGATGGTCTCATATCAGATCACTGTGCAGTCCAACAGGGTACAACATTTGGCCAAGTGCAAAGACCTGGGCTTACACACTTTCCCTCTTCCTCTGCAATACAAGTCTGTGTGAGGATTTGGTGAGGCAATTACTAGCTCTGCCAGCACAGTGAACCGGAAGCAGCATTTCACGCAAGTCACAAATCCTAACACGTGGTGGTACAAGAACATAAAAAGATAATAAGGTGTGAGACTTCTATTGGGCTTTAAAGTCATCAATTCTGTCTTTCATTGTGTCCTTTTTCTATCGGGCTACACGTCATCATCATAACATCAGGCACATGTTCTTTGAAATGCTACCTGCAGTTTGGCTCAGATGCACACTTTCATATTGATATCAAAAAGGCTACCTGTTTGCAACTGTATCCGTAGATGGGACGCCATCAAAGACGATAACACGGTCAGCAAGATAAGTGGCCATAATAAAGTCGTGCTCCACAATAAATGCGGTCTTTTTGGCGTGAAGAACAAATCTACAATGAAACAAGCCATTAGCTCCAAAACCGTAGCACATATTTCATCAATGCATGCAGAGACAAAAGAATCCAAGTACCGTTTGATGACTCTGGCGGCCGTGAGACGTTGTTCAGAATCCAGATACGCTGAAGGCTCATCAACAAGGTACACGTCGGCAGGTTTACCCAAACACAGGACCAAAGCCACACGTTGCAACTCACCTCCGGACAATGTCTGCACCTGTTAGGCATAATGACAACTCTCACCGAATGCTCAATGTTTAGCATCTTGGGTATAAACTATATCAACTACATACACATGACCAAACTGTACTGAAGATTAGGTGCCCTGACCAAATTTACCAGTTTCTGTATGCATCAGTTAACAACTATGACTCATTTGCCTGGTAAAATCATGAGGACATTGTTATTTTAACCCTTAATGGGAAACCTTAACACCCAAACCTAGTTTGGCTACTTGTGTGTTCGTAAAACTGTACACGTCTTTTTAGCTACTTGGTGTATCCAGGTGATTTATACATGGTTATTTTCAAGACAAATTGAGCCTTCGTTTCGTTGTAAATGTTAATGGACCTGCTGATCTTTAAAAAAAAAAACAAAAACTGAAATCTGACCCAGAATATATATTTTTATTTTTTTTTGTTTTGTTTGCTTCTTCTGAAAATCTACTCCCAACCTTCACAGAAAGATCATAAATGCGTGTTATTTTTTCTGCATGTACCTGTAGTAGGGCCCATAAATAATAGAGGGCATTTTGTTTTTTGAAACCTGCCTAAAAACACACTAACTCTAAAATTAAAAGTATTTTTTTTTTTTTACTTTTTTTTCACGGAGCCCAACATTACCACTGACACCAACCTAGATCAAGCCCTGACCAAGCTACTTTATCTTTATTCTTTTGTAACCTGTGAGAATGTCTTTATCCATTACCAAAGTATGTTTTTATTGTGCAACTGGCTGCCAGATAACTGATTGGTTCTCAATAGTTGGAGACCTGCAGCTGCCAATGACAATGTCGTCACTTCACTGCGGCAATGCAGATGAATGATATTACAGTACAAGGATATGAGACTGATAATGCTAAACTGAAAATAAAAAGAGAAAATTGAATCAAAGTCTTCTGTGCTTGTTGCCCGACCACCATTTCATCCATCTCAAAAATGTTATCATCCACGTTCTCCCCCCTACAAGAAAGCAGATTACCTCTTGATCAATAATATTTTCAATCTGCATCGGTTTCATCACATCGGTTACGAACTGAGGATGTGTGTAGGCATCTCTGATCTTCTCATGGAGCAGCTGGCGGACACTTCCCTGTTTTTAACAAAATATTAGTAACAGAACAGGCACAGACTACAAATTGTTTTTTCCAATAACATTTCTGGGCTTATTTTGCATAGTGATCAGTAACTCATATCAACCAATTAAATCAGAGTTTTCTGTAATCACAGCAGGAACAAGATTGATATTAAATTGCCACTGTATTTTGCACAGTCCATGAATTTTAGACTTCCTAAATAGGCTCATAGGTCTATATCGGACAATAAAGTAACCTGTAAACCTTTATCATAATTATCAACCAAATAGTTTAGTAAATCATTTGTGTTTCAAATTAGTGGTTTACCTACACTGCCACCAGTGGTGTGCAAGCTAATATCGTGACCAGTGGCAAATGTATTACACACTAGTCAGGAGGAGCCCCACTTTTCTTGGAGCTTATATAACAAGGCCAGAAGAAACCACATCACTAGGGTATGTTACCATTTTGAGTTTAGAATAGGGCTGCAACTAATGATTATTTTTATAAATCGATTAGTTGTGTGTTCCAATGCACTGGCGCTCTATACGCAGATCTACCACTGAAGAGTGGTTTAGAAGGCTGAATAGAGTTCAGGAGATTGAGGCACTCATTCATATATCCAGAGACACGCTGGATACATTTACTAAGACATGGGCATACTGATTGCATTTCAAAACATCCGAGTACTTGGATCACCTTTGACCATCCAAATGAGATTCCCTACTCGAACTTATTGGGTTTTCTGTAAAACTTATCCTGACTGGTTAGCACATCTGGCTGGTTTGACCACCCCGGCTCAGGACAGGAGGAGGGTCCTTTAGCTGGGCGAGGGAGTCCGGTGGGATCCCTCCCCTTACCTTTTGCCACAAAATGGAGGAGCAGATCAGGAGAACATTTGACACAGTGGATGGTCCCCCCCCCC